GAGAGATAGAAACAGATAGACAAGAGAGAGATAGGAGAGGAGAAGAGAAAAGAGGAGAGAAGAGACAGACAGGACAGGGGCATAGAGAGAGAGAAGAAAGATAGAGAGGAGAGTCAGAGAGATGAAGAGGAGAGACAGTAGATGGAACAAGAAGAGATTAGAGGAGAGAGGGAGAGAGAGAGAGAGAGAGAGAGAGAGAGAGAGAGAGAGAGAGGTGATTCCAATGAGAAAGTTTCCCTACCAATGCAGCCTGATACCTGCTCTGAAAACTGTAGGCTAAGAGTGACCTAGGGCACTGAGAGGGTATCTGACTTGCACAGGGTAACACAGTCAGTATACTATGTCAGAGGTAGGTCTGGACCCAAGTCTTCCTGTGAGGTCATCTCTCTATTAGATAGAGATTCTAATCTAGTTCTCCTTTGGTGTTTTGTGGGCCCCATGGGACCTGTAGGCTGTGAGTCTGACAACCTCTGACCTACAGGGAGGCAAGTGAGCATAGATGTATAGCTGGAAGGAAGCTCCCAAATGGATAGGTCAGAGGGAATTAGGCAAGGCCGAAAAATAAAGAATTGAACTTTACCTGCATTAATTCATTTGATCTTCATAATAACCTTGTGAGGTAGGTCCTGGAATGTGGTCACAAAACCTCACAGCAACTTTAGTTCTGAAGGAACTTTAGTGTCTCTGATCTGCATTAGAATCTCAATACTACTACTTACTACTTGTGTGACTTTGGAAAAGTTGGAGTTTGCTTAACTTCTTTACCCTCAATTGCCTTACCTGTAAAATGAAAAAAAAAATAATTAAACTGCATTAGATTCTGTAAAATTCTTTCCACATCGAAATCCTTTGATTTACAAAATAGAAAGGTCAGAGACTTTGGGCATATGGGTACTGCTTCTACCATCAAGTCCTCCTCTCCCAAAGTTGGATCAAAGTTCTTTCTAGCTCTATGTCCATGATTTTATGACTTCATGCCTAAACCAAGAAGGTCTAGAAACTCCCTGATGGCATGTCAACAGTGCTAGGTACTGGTCTGGCAGACAAAGGTTCCAGCTATGACTCTACCAACCATCAGCTATGGGACACTAGGTAATTCATTTAACCTCTGAGCATCAGTTTCTTAATCAGAAAAAAAAGAAATGATAATACTGATTCTTGCCAAGTAGAAGTAATTTGTTTTTAAGTATGTGTTGGGTTAGACAGACACTTAAAGTATTTATGGCTACCTAACCCCTAAGATTTTCAGGCAAGGTCATATTCACAACTTCATTTTGTCTTGATATAGAGATTTAAATTTAAAGAGAGATAAGACTTAGTGCAAATTTCTACTTGCCCCCAGACAAAAATTTCAGAAAGAGCTTTGTTAATGGCCAAGTTATATAGCCTTCTGATAGAAAAGGTATACTCCTTTTTTCCTTATATCAAGGAAGGGGATGTAGAAAGAAAAGATATAATGCTGTTCCTTCTTTTGAAAGGATGAAGAGTAGAATTGGTCTTTGTGGTAATTCAACTGTTGAAAAAATAAAATTATACTGCTGTAAAAAAAAAAAAAGAAAAGAAAAAGTATTTACTCTTCCATGATAAAAACAAGTAAACTTTGTGATACTTGTTCTTTCAATACAAATGCTCAAACAAAAAAAGCACCAGGATAAACTCTGAGGTACAAAGATTTATCTGTGAAAAGGTAAGAACGATTTAAAAGTAATCTGAAAGTTGAGCCCATAACCTGCACTGCTTTCCCATTGACATCAGCTCCAATTGATCCCGCAGTGGCGACTGTATTTGGCACTGTTACGGTATTCATTTCACTCAGGTACACATCTGACATTGGTATCTTCAGTTCATGACTGGCCACCTGTATGGCAAATGAACAGATTACTTCCAACCCACTTGGTAGCTGTGATTTTTAACATCCTCAAGGTCTGGTTTTTTAAAGACATTTTTTCTTTTTTTTTAATTGCTAGGTAGAGGAACTCCTATTCCATATTTTTATAGGCATATCAAAGAATATTCCATTTTAATTTTAGTTTTTTACTTTATTTTTATATTACATTCATTTCCTCCATATACTTTACCAGCAAAAATATCCCTAGGTTTTAAAACCCTTAATTTGCATAAAGCATTAAATTTTGCCGAAGGTATATGAGCTTAGATACTGGGATTCTGAATTTAAACAAATGAAGAACAGATTTGTTTTTTCCTCACCTGTATCATTTTGGTGTTAAGACCTTGTGCCAATTCAGTTCCCCCGTGTGTAATTAATACAGACCCATCTGTATAAATGTGAACCAAGGCAGCAGCCTGGGGAAAAAAAGCAGAAACTGATTTTTCTTACTACCTTGAAATCAATCTTTATAAACCATGTCAATGTGGAGCAAAGTAACTTATCAAATCACACTTAGCATAGTTTAATTCTAGAAGTGATAGAAGTAAACTTTTCCTCAATAGACAGAAAGGATATTCACATCATTCAGGCTAGCAGAGACACCTTTTACTGAAGAATTCAGAAATAAAAGAAGTTGAAATGTACAGCTAATTATTGGAATTCAGCCATGGCCTCACCATCATTTTCAGCATCTTATTCCAACACTTACTAAATGTTTGCTGGGTAACCAACACAAAGCTGGATTTTCCTTTAATCAAAAAGCAGTTAGGATTGATCCCACCTTATTTTGTAACTTTTTAATGCACTTATCAGATAAAATCAATATTATAGTTGTCTGTGGAGTCATCTCATCACCTAACCAACTCTAAGCTTATTGGAGGGCTAGAACCATGTCTTATCTAAACTCTGTATCTCCCTCCAATAAATGTTTGTCTTATATTGAGCTAAACTGTATCTTAACAAGAGTTGCTCTTTTTGTTTCTCCCATCTGTCTGCCATACTGACATCATTACCTTCCGCTCAGAAGTGGGAGAGTGGTAGGAGAGATGGGCAAGAACTATCCTTTTCTGTGGTCCATCTGGAAGAACAGGAAGTAAATCTACTCCCTCCACCACCATACACTCACAGACCTCAAACCTAAAAGGATGAGCCCATTCAGTGTAACAAATTGTGAGAAACTCTTTGCTTGGATTTAGACCCTTTACCCTGATCTATTTGGGATTTGGTTTTATTGGCTCTTACTTGGCCTTGAAATCTTAATTCTTCCTATTGCCTCAGTTTCCACTAGTTGCTGAATTTTGATATACAGGCATATCTTCTACCTCTGGCTCTTTTCCTGAAGTACTTTATTACTTCTAAAGTACCCCATTTACCTCTGGCCCTTTACAAACATCCTGGGGTGGGCCACCTTCCCCTGCCTCCTCCAGTTTTTATGAGTTTCTGAGCTCCAATAGGTGAGACTCTTGGGCATAACACTACTTCTGGTCTAGAGCACGCCGAGAGGAAATGGCACATTATCCTCCAAAGAAATAAATGATTAAGCCCGAATTCTGGCTGACTCTTAGAATCTTAGAGTTTGTTGTTCTTTACTGACTTCAGCACTCCCTTAGCCATGCTTATGACAGCTATTAGCAATGACAGTCCCCCAGCCCAATCCTTCTTTTCTAGGCAGATCTGTCTCTTTATTGTTGCCCACATGTCATTCTCATTCTGGCATCATTACTTGGCTCATGTTGTCCCTCTGCCTCAAATGCCCTTTCTACTCCCGCCTTCTTCTTATTCTAACCCTACACATTCTTCAGGGCACAGTTTACATTCTTCTTCTTCCATGAAGACATTCCTGACCACATCAGCTCTCACTGATCCCTTCTCAGGACTCCCATCTGTAACACTCAGGTGACTATTCCTTCACACAGGATTTTACACTGTTATTTAAACATTCCATGCGAGTTGGTTTTGTATCCTCAGTTTGCATCTCACACTTTTTTTTTCTACTTCTCACACTGCTACACATAGTGCTAGTCCATAAGAGTTTATCAATAAACAGATGTTGAATTGAATTAAATAAAATTGAATTTTACCATTTGTTGATTCAAAATATATTTTTCTTAAAGAGACTGTGAACTGAGTCCCTTCCACACATGGCAGAAAATTCCTGAATTCCAAAGTAGGCAGGCAGACAGACTAGTGTCTCTCATCATAAGGACCTCCCCCCCAAATTGATGCCCTACCTAGTCAGAGTGTTAAATTAAGGCAAATTCTCTCCTGTTAGCTTTTATTTATCTTTCTGCTTAAGAAGGAAAGTAAATGATTTACCTGCTAAATAAGTACTGGGGATAGATACAAAGATTTAAAAATGAAACCATTTCTACTCTAGCTTATATAAGCAAATACAGAATGTATACAAAATAAATGCAAAGTATTTAAATATAAGATAGTTGAGGGAACATTAGCAAATAAGGGGATCAGAAAAGGTTTCATGTAGAAGGTTTCTTGACAGATGACAACTTCATGGATAAATTTGATTAACATGTTTAAAATTAAAACAAATTTTTTTTAATTTGTTACTAACTCTCAGTCTCCTCTTGGCTAGACAATCCCAGCTTCTATTTTTTCCTCTCCAAATCTTTTCTAATTTCTCTATGTCCCTTTTGACATATAAAGTCTCAAATTATAGGTTTCATGTAGAGAGTTTTCTCATTTGTTTGACAGATGACAAATGACAGATGATAAATTCATAGATAAATTTGATTAACATGTTTAAAATTAAAACAAATATTTTTAAATTATTTTTTAAAAAAATTACCTGATGATAATATGTCTTTGGATATCCTACAGAGAATTTCATGGGAATAATGGCAATCCCTCTCTTCTTCCAGTAATTCTGCTGATTGAATGATTCTATGGCCTTTTTTCTGCTATAGTATAAAGATTTTTCCATACATTCATCCCAACATCTTATCAGGTTCTTTGGATCAAATTGCTGTTTGTGGATTGTTCTATCAATGGTTTTGTACATGTTTAGTTCCCTAACCTGGTGGAGGAATATATAGATATTATAATAAAGATCTGTAGAAATCAGGTTTGTATTGGAGAGATATAGAAAGTGTGCTCAACTTAGAAAGATAAAAATGTCATTCAAGAAATTATGCCAAAAAAAATAATTTGTTACATAGGATGGCTGGGGTCAGGAGGGAAAGAGGGAAAAAATAAAAGAAGACAGTGAGATGATCTAAAAACAAAAGCTTTCAATAAAAATGTATTTTAAAAAGAAAAGATGTTATGCAACTATGTCCAAAAAAAAACTTATCTCCATGTGATTTTTGCTTTTTTTTTAGTTACCTTCTCTGGTGGTAAATTACATTTAGCTGCCACAGCTGTTATCCAGTACTCTGTCACAAAGGTTCCCTGTGGAAAACCAAAGCCTCTGAAGGCTGTATTGGATGGCAAGTTGGTTTTGCAAGCCCAGCCTTGGATTTGGAGGTTAGGAATTTTATAAGCATTTTCCAGTTTGAGTACAGCATATTCTATTACCTGAAATTTTTCCCAAGATGAACACTGGTTTAGAATCATAAAATTATAAATGTTAGGTAGCATTTCAAAGTATCAGCAACCCAATCTTTCTCCTCAAAGGCAAAATAACACCTAATCTACCAGAGGCATGGACATCATCCTTTACATAAAAATCCTGACTTCAAAAATTTGTTACTAACTCTCAGTCTTCTCTTGACTAGACAATCCCAACTTCTTTTTGTTTTCCTCTCCAGATCTTTTCTGATTTCTCTATGTCCTTTTTGACATATAAAGTCTCAAATTATACCCAGTCCAATCTTTTGATTAGGACCCAACAATTATGTCCCTATTCCTGTATTTAGTAGTTACAATAATATTTAGTTGCCATTCTGTGAAATGGACTCTGTCCATGATAGTTCTTATTGAAAATAGATTGATCTCTATATTTCTGTCACTGAGGGATGACAGCTACATCCCTGAAAGTTTTGATATTCTATTGTTGCTTACTGATTATCTTAATAGTTTCCTACTTACCCCAAAATAGTTTATGGTATTCATTTCTTATTTTTAAACAGAATCCATTTTTTGAGAAAAAAGTATTTTGATACCATTGGAAACATTCATAGTGTAATACAAAATAAGATTGAATTGTGGAAATGTACCACCTTAGTCCATCCACTCAACTAAAAAACAAATGTCAAAGGGCTACATCTGTGGGATTCCAACATCGCTGGTGGACACTCAACAAGCAACTGATAAATGAACAGATACATAAACCACTTGGGAAAAGTCAATGATTACCACTGAGCTGATAAGAGACCCTTGCTCTCCTCACCAGGAGAAACAACTAAGGCCTTTAACAATAGAATGGAGAAACATTAACATTGGAAACTTGATTGGAATAACTGAAGCAAAATAGAAAATAATAATTGTCCTAACATTTCTTGTAATGACTTATAGTTCATAAAGTACATTCCACACAACAACCCTGTGAGATAGGTAATGAAAATATTATTTTTTCAGAAGATAAAACTCAGTCCTAAAGAAAGTCAAATAGTAAATAAGTGAACAAGCTAGAACTTGGTCTTTGGACTGCAGGTCTAGAGCTCTTTCTAAATGTGCCATTCATGTTGGAGGCATCTCCAGTTGTCCCAATCTGTATCTTGCCACTGGACCCAAATGACTCTGGAGGAGAAACTGAGACTGGTGACTTTGCACAGCCCTGCCTCACTTAAACCCAATTCACTTGCAAGTCATGACATCTCCTTCCTGATGTCATTGGTCCTCTTTGAGAATGAAGGAGAAACAACCAACTGTGAGTAATAATAGCTGCCCCACTCTGGACCCAACTGGCCCATTCCAGTTGGACAACGCAGCTCCTTTCTTCCTTCCTTCCTTCCTTCCTCCCTCCTTCCCTTTCTCCCTCCCTTCTCTCACTCCTCTCCTTCCTCTCTCTCAGTCCATATAAGGAGTCATACCCTTACCTTTGGGTGCTCTGTCCAAAGGAATAGACATTTCAATTGCTGAAACCTAGCAAGACTTCTTGGGGTTTATGGGCTAGATTTCTCTTTTATGGACCATGTCTTAAATCCAAATCATTCTGACTTTCATTGATTAGCCAACAATAGGTCCCAAGCCAAGCCTCACTTGCTCATTGTTTGGGTTCTGATAGCTCAGAGTGAGTGTAAATAGCCATTGTTTCTGTTTTGGCCAAAAACCCCGAGGATCTTCCCCTCCAAGATTGATTTTTTTGACTAGGTAAAAGAAGCCATTCTTTACCTCATTCTTTGCCAAGCCTTAATCACTGAATGGATGTTGCCTCAGACAAACTGAGACCTGAGAAAGACCGTAGCTTAAAAAAGTCATGGCTTCCCACTACATCCAGGGCTATCTCCAGTCACGCTGATCTGTATCTTGCCACAGGACACATATGGCTCCAGAGGAGAAAGTGAAGCTAGTCCCTTTGCACAGCCCTGCCTCACCTAAATCCAATTCACTTGTAAGTCATGACATTTCCTTCCTGATATCATGGTCCTCTTCAAGAACAAAGGACAAACAACAACAACCATTCATGCATAATAACAAAGAATCATCACATCCTTTTTGGAAATAACATTTCTATTTGAAAATGAATCATGAACCCGAAGATACTAAGTGATTTCTGTAGTTTTATCAAATTTCCTCCCTAATACTATCACTTCAAAAAATGAAAGGTTCAAAGGGGTGGAGGAGAGAAGGAACTAAAGGTAATTTTGGAGTGTAGGGCATTGCCTGAGTGGAGTGTCACACATGGTTATTGGAGAGCCAGGATCTGGGTTCAAAACCTGATTTAGCCATTTACTATCACTGTGACCCTGGACAAGTCAGTTCTCTGCTCTACAACTTGGGGTTTTCACTTGTAAAATGAAGGCATTGGACTAGAGGGTTTCTAAGGTCCCTTCAGAAAGATTTAACATTTTTTTAAAGGGAAGTACTGGAAAGGAACAAAGTAGGAGCCCTTCATTCCTTGTGGGTAGTAGAGGAGAATATGCCAAAAGGGGATAGAGTCAGTAAATTGAAAGACAGGTTTACCCAGATAGAGTTCTGACCCTTCCCCTCTTCCTAGAAGCCAAAAGTACTAGCTTCCCAAAACTTATTAATCCACAATTTTTTTCCTGCCCAGAGTAGTAAAGTGTTGACAGGAATGAGCCAAATGCAAAAAAGTTGTCTTTATGGTAAGACTAGGGGTACACTCAATAAGAGGCCAGAACCAGACATGTGCAGCAAAAGGAAAGTGTGGGACAGGGAAATGGGGAAGAGGGACATTTATTTGTTCACAATAGTAGCTGAGCTGGAACTGACGAATGAACAGGAATCAGAAGAAATAGTGAAATGAGGGAATGTTTAATTTGTACACCATATGATTCTTCTCTTGGTAACTAAAGTTCTATTATTATTCTACATTTCATCTACTGGTGACCCACTAAAAGAGACCCTCCAACACACTATGCTAACAAAGATCATTTTAAATTGATTGCTTTCAATAATAAATGGCATTGTACATTTATACAAGTAGCTTACCATTTCTGATTCATCTGGTGTACATCCTCCATTAATATAATATTCAATATCTGCTGCCTTGATTTTGCCATCATTCATAAAACCTATCTAGAATTGGTAAAAAACACATAAATGTGTGAGAACAGTTGGGGGAAAATGCATTATAGTGAATAAAAAGATAGTAAAATTGCATGCAAAATTGCATAATTATTCATTTTGTCTTTAGCATCCTCCCAGGGACCATTCTTTCCTTCTTGGCAATCCATAAAAGAATGTATTGGTGTAGCATATTGCAGAAATTTGAAATCACAAATCCACCAATCTCCCATACTTTCTCCATCACTTTCTCAGCATTATTTTCTGGTCCCACTCACTTTATATTTCCCAAGTAGTGGGTGGCGTCCTCCAGTAATTAGCATATCATCTCCACGCTCCAAAATAAAACGAATTGGGCGACCAGTCCTATAAGAAACAAATCAAACCCTTTAGGAACATCCCAAGTGAGTGATAATGGACAATTGAATCAGTTACTCAGTCAATAAACATTTATTAAGCACCTATACCAAATTAAGGATACAAAGACAAAAGGTAAATTCTGTCCTAAAGCAGCTCATAACCTAATAAGGGAGAAAACATGCAAACAACTATGTATAAGCAAGCTATATACAGAATAAATGGGAAATAATCAACAAAGAGAAGACCTAGACTTAAAAGGGATTGGGAAAGAATTGCTGGAGAAGGTAAAGTTTTAGCTGGGACTTGAAGGAAACCAGAGAATGCAGGAGGCAGAGATCAGTAAAAATGCCTAGAATCAGGTGACAAAGGGTCTTATGTGAGGAACAGCAAGGATGCCAGTGTCACTGGATCAAAGACTATGTGAGGCCATATAAGGTGTATAAAGACTGGAGAGGTTGAAAGGAAAGAAGACTAGGCTATGAAGAACTTTAAGCACCAAACAGAGGATTTTATATTTGATCTTGGATTGAGGATCAAAATGAGGATTGAGGAGATTTCAGGAAGCCTTGTTCATTCCTTAATGACAAAAACAGCCCAAAGTCTAATGAAATAATCGGTCAAGTTAGTCTCAAAAAGGATTATGAAGTAATTTGTCTTATTTAAGCTTGAAAATAAAGAAAGGTAAATTAAAAAAGTTTTCCTTGTGTGTAGGAACCTCTGTAGGATTTATAACAGGTTATTTTATAACAGACAGATAGGTGGTACAGTGGATAGAGTGCCACACCTGGAACCAGGAAGTCCTGAGTTCAAATCCAGCCTTAGACATTTACTAGCTGCGTGACCATGGACAAATCACTTAATCCTGTTTGCCTCCATTTCCTCATCTGTTGGAGAAGGAAATGGAAAACTACTCCAGTATCTTTGTCAAGAAAACCCCAAAAAGGATTACAAAGAGTCAGTCACGACTGAAAAATGTCAACAACTATATAACTAATTTATAACTGTTAGCAGACTTTGATTAGTGTTCTGGTTGATTAATTTAGGAATTTTAACCACCACCCCCCCCCGAAGATTAGGGTTGAAATAGTCGAGTGCATTGGAGGAGTATAATAATGAATTCTGTTTAGGAGACGTTGAGTTTGAGATGTCTACGGGATAACTAGATGCCAATGTCCCAGGCAGTCAGTGATGTTTGACCAGAACTCAGAAGGGAAACGACAGTCTGATGGGTTTTTTTTTCTGCCAATGAAAATTATCTCTGGACTGGAATGAACAAGACAAAAAAAAATAGCTATTACAAGGTTGATATTCAAGATAAATAAAAGGATAAGTAATAGGATATCTCATTTCCTTAGATGAGTTCAATTGTCCTGGACCAAATGAACTACATTCTAGGGTACTGCAAGAACTGTCAGAGGTGATTATTGAGCCATTGTCAGTGATCTCAAGTGATTATGAAGAGATAGTGCAGGATTAAGAAGGGTAAATGTTGTCGTGGTTTTCAAAAAAAAAAAAAGGAAGAAGATAAAGCCTACAAACTATGATAAGCCATTGAACTTCACTTTGATTTCTGGCAAAATTCTAAAATGTTTTACTAAAAGATAGTCAGTAAACATCTCAAAAAGAAATAAAAAGTCACAAAGGTCCAGCATAGCTTCTTCAAGAACAGGTTACAACATATTTACAAATTGTATTTCCCTTTTTTGACAAGAGTTATCAGAATGGTAGAATGGGGAATGTTAGAAGTAGTTTGCCTAAAGTTCAGTAAATCATTTGATAAAGTCCTTTATGTAATTTTTATTTTAAAAAATAAGGAGAGACTTTTGTGTTAGTACAAGCAGGTAGATTTGGAACACAATGAATGGTTAGATTCAAAAAGTAGTTATTAATGGTTTGATATCAGCTTTGAAGGTGACCAGTAGACTTGTGCTTGACCCTGTGCTGTTTAATATTTTTATCAAAGACTTAGAAAAAGGCATAAATAGCGAGCTTAACATATTTGCTGATGGGAGGGATAGGTAATACACTGGAAGACTAAGATAGAATTCAATAAGATTTTGACAGGCTCACACACAGGGTCAAATCGAATAAGGTGAAATTTAATAGGAATAAATAAAGTCTTACACTTGAGTTCAAAGACTCAATTTCACATGATGAGGAAGGTATAGTGAGAAAACAATGTGTCTGAAAATGATCTGGGGGTTCTAGTGAGTTACAAGTTCAATATAAGTCAACAGAGAAATAGGACAGGCAAAAAAAAAAAGATAGTATCATATTACCTTTGGCTGCACCAAAAAAAAACATAATAGCATCCAAACTTATGGATTCCAACATATTCTGCTCTAGTCAGGATACTCTGGAGTATAGTGCTATGAAATACTGCTTTGGGTGCCACATTCTAGGAAAAGACATTGTTAAGACTTCTTGGTTTTTCAACAGTGATAACAGGACTCCACTACCAATGATTGTGAAGAAGCCATGACTCAAACCAAATATAAAAATAATTACTTCTCATTTGGTTTCCACATTGTGGAGCTCCCAGGGGGTCTCCCTACTGTCAGCTGTAAGAAAAATGGTAGGTATTAACTCTGTGTGTGTGTGTGTGTATACTCTCAGTAACACAAAATCTTTGAATAGTATGCCTAGAAATCTCAACACATGAAAATGTAATTTATCTGACCTGACTTGGGGGGAAAGGTAACCCAATCCTGCCTCATTATCCTACTGTAATTTCAGATTTTTTCTAGTGCAGCATTTCCCAAATTCTGCTTCAGGAAACCTTAATGTTCTACACAATGTGAATAAGACTTCTATGAGAATCTATTGATATTAGCAATATTTTCCCCTCTGAAATATTAAATATTAAAATTACAAGTTATCTTTTATTTCCTTTGCTTTGTTCCCAATTTCCCAAACTCCCCATTACCCTTGAGGAGTTTCTATAT